CTAAAATTTACAAACAGGTTACAATACTAGTTAATCTAATACATTTGTACATTAACATATCAAAAATATCAATTATTGTAATATAAGATATCTGTTGCGAATGTACAATGCTTCAATGCGAAATATCAATTATAGCAATATTAAGCTTAACTCAAGATAACCATTCATACAATACTTTAATGAAAAACATCAATTATTAAAATGTCTTAAAGCAATATTTCAATTATTATTATAACTGTAATTCTATGTTCTTGACGCAGTAATTATGGTACCGTAATAGGTATTTATTTATTTTTCGAACTCATACAGATAGCTACCTGCGTACGGTTAGCGATATGAACTAGTTTGCAAAGTCACGGACTTCTAAGTTATATTTTTAGAGGCGCACCGATTAGTATTTGGGTCTTTTAACCATGAAGGAGGTATTTATATTGCTGGCAAGATGACTAAAAGAGCATGTCGAGAGGCAAACTTATTCTATGTTGTTCTCATTCCCAAGCTAATATTAACAATTTTATGCTTGTCGTAAGTAATACTTTGTGCTTACATCGTTTTTGATTAATTTCATTTTGGAAGAGTATTTCGCTAAGCATGTAATACTATAATGCACCTAAATGTTATGTTTGAAGCAGGTTGGTACTTACAAATGAATCATATTTTTAAAGGTATCTTAACACAGACTATTACATTTGATAAAGTCAATCACAAAGTATGCTATGATTTTGTATAGCAATTATACTATAGTACGGTAACTAGATCCATACTGTAGCTTAAGGATAGGTTATTTATAATTGCCAGACACGCTGAGGTTCTGTTGTTGCTAAGTACTCATTTAACTGGAAGGTATTTGAATGAATTGAACTTGTAGTAATAAAAATCATTCCAAGCTATCCAAGTTGAAATGCTTAGTGTCTCGTAGTGAACAACTATCGGTGATAACTATCGGAGTACCTAAGAACTGCCAGGCTTTCATGCCCTAGAACGCTCGTCATAACAAAGTAGCCTCGATAATTTTTGGGCTATTAATAATTTAATAATAGTTAATGTTATCGTACCTTGACTCATGATCATTATTGGCTAGTTATAACTTTGAATAGATTCAAAGATGGGAGTAATATCTGATTTATAGTTATCTTTTAGCATCGTACTATATGATAAGTTAAAAAATAGTGCTTTTTGTCGTGAACTGGGTATTACGTCAACTGGAGAGAAAGCTATTACGAATGATTATTAGTATACCTATTATGATAGTAACGCAACTGAATAAAAAAACGGCTACAAAGGAGATACTTATTTATATCAACAGTATTATTTACACTTTATAATCCTTTACTGGCTAGGAATACGAATTTAAAGCTGCTAAATTTCAAGCTAGTAGAAACTGACAGAACGAAATACCAGTATAATACCACAGGCTAAATCATGAAGAACTCGGAAATTTTACTCTCGCTTAAGATAATTCTTTACTAAACCGTCGCTAATTATAAAAGTGGTTGAGTAACGGGCCATTTCATCTTTTAAGTAATGCATTGAAATATTTAGTATTGGATCAGATTTAGAAGATTTCATTTTTAAAACTGATACGAGTATATTTGAAATTCGTTCATATAAAAATACAGCAAATAAGGTAGGTTAGGATTTTGGAGATTAATGGAAAGATTCTTGCATTTAATTTAAAACAGCCTAATAATAATGGGCCTGAAAGCACATGTTTGCGCTCAAAGCAATATATTGTTATTGGATCAAATTGATTTTTAGTTCAATTACTTAAATTACAGTCTAATGAGATCATTCTGAAAGTTCATACCAATAATTAATTCGTAGGATGAAATTTTAATTTTTACTAGGCTTTAACAACTGAAAGTTATGACGAGGCTACATTGCTAAGAATAGAAATCATAAACCAATATATTACCCATATGAGTTCATTCGATGTGTTGTAAATGCCTATTTGACTGTCTAGAGATAATACCGCATTTACTTGAGAGTCTTCATTGCTCAGTATTGCACTAGAAAGGCAACAATATCTAAGATTTATTTGGTCGAAGTACTACAAGATATTGCTAAATCGAATGTAATTTTATTAACTGCACAATTAATAATGACTAGAAACAGTGCTCTATTCAATGTTGCAATTTTGCAAAACATGCCATCCTTAACATATTTTAATCTTCTTCTGCACCTTTAATGCCGAATCTCAAATGTAAAAATTTGTTAAATTGAGCCAATTAAGTTATTGTTACGGAATAACTTTAGTGTAGCTGTAATATGCACTTCCTTTAGCCCTACGATATCTGGTTACCCGATGATTATTCCTCAGTGTAGCGGTTAAAAATAGTTTATTACTTAAAATTTACTATTGAACACTAAAGTAGTAGAACTTCAGATTACGCAGCTAGACACAGCTAGCTCGAAGGCTATCGACTCCCTTCGTCTCTAAAAGAGTCGGCTTTTAATACATTTCTTGAAGGCCTATTGACAAATATGTTTATTGAATCCCTCTTGCAGTCAATTCAAGTAAAATTCTATTTAACCTATCCTATAATATTCCCTACGCTACTCAATATGGTGTCACAAGTCCCCACTTGTGATTTGGTTAGGTCAAGTGCTATGGCAATTGTGTAAGGCTTCCACTGACTTGGAAGTCTTCTGACTCTCTTAACATTAGGACTAACATCTCAAACATCATCCACTAACTATTTACGATGAACATAACTCTTAATAGGTGATTCTAACACCCTAGTCTACTGTACTATCTTATTTATCACTATCGGGGCCTCACTATAACCTACTTTCCAGGAGTAGCGAAGTTATCATAAGATTACTTATCTACAAATGTGTTGATATTAATTTATCTATGACGTTTTCATATGCTTCCAATAGATAACATCTTAGCATTATAATTTATCTAAGTACTGATAATTACATATTTTGTATATTGATTATAAATTGGTTGGCATTTTAATAAAAGTTTAGGTTTAGTTTAGTCTAATAGGAGATCGTTAGTATTTACTGTGGAGTCGTATTGTGGGTAGATGTCGGGGAGGATAATTCTGATAATAGATTTCCAGTGTTAAGTTTTAATTTTTCTCGATACAAGATTAAATTTTCATTGTTATTTGCTGATTTAATACAATAGCACACAATTTACTTCGGTTGGAAGTAGAATGTAAATAAACACAAACCAACTTGATCGAGTTAATACTAGTAGATGGAGGATCTCTAATATCGCCTTAAATTGAGGTTAAGAATAAAAATGCGATTGCTTTGAGAACATTTTAGTAATTTTGAAAGGCAATAACTTATGGCCATGTCGCGAGGCAATTTTGTAACAGTAACAATTTTGTTTAATGACTTTACATGAAATTCAACGATAACAAATTTGTTTATTCTTATACATGTGTTTTATAGATATTAGAGTATTTCTATAGAGTTATCATAGCAATGGTAACTGATGTTTATGTAGTTTCATTACATATTGGTGTTTATTTCAATGAACGATTGAGTTTCATAGACTATTTCGTGTGGAGGTGTATACTGATAAAATATAGTCTTCTGGTAATAAAAAACTTTCAGTAATATCAGTTTTATAACGGATTCTTTACAGTACTAGAGAGAACAAGTCAGGCCGCGGACTTAGTATTTTGCTATAGTTGCAAACTTTATATGTAAGAACGTGTACGAAAGGAACTTAAGCCTACGACATTAAATGATTCGCTATTTTATTGTTAATGCGCTAGCGGTAATTACTTTAAAATTAGCTATCACATTCCATTCAATCTTCTGCTTTCGTTATAGTCAATCATGCCAGTATTTTATGTAATGAAGTGTAGGCACATGGCAATTTGCAAAAATAGAGCCGCCATTTTAGGCTATCCATTCATTTTTTTAATAAATGAAGAAGAAAATAATATGTTGTTGCGTCGAACCGTTAGTCATAAATTCTAAACTTCTTACACTTTTAGTTTACAATAATTAAGATTTGATTGGCTGCGTTGCTCAGCAGTCTGCTGCGTTGGGATAAGAATAATTTGTTGCATTTGTACGTAGAATTATGCATTAAAAGAAAACAATTGTTTACTGAATGATACAAAAAATAAACATAGATTTGAATGAGATTAATTGTTGGTATAGATTTCCAAGTTGATTATAGAATCTGTGTTACTGAACTGGCTGAATTGATCGTAAAGTTATTCTTTCTGCCAAGTTGAAGTGAAAAATTTAATGGAAGAATAGGCTTAAGCATTTCTGTATTTCACTGTCAAGCCTTGGTCCTCGATTATATTTCAGTGATAGACTAATATCTCTGAAATCTTACTTTGAAATAGTTTCAAAAGATATTGCGCTAGTAAACAACTTTTATTAGACTAAGCTTGAATAGAATGAATTTATCAGCATCAACTCGTTCTATAAAATCGATTTCGATGGACTGGTGATTAGCCTATAATAAAATATTAAAAGTGAATCGCCATTGTTGAAATATAGGATAGCTTTGATTCTGTTAAGTTAATCCGTCTTATCGGCAATTTCTTTTTTGAATGTTTTAGTTGTATAGTCTCGAATATAATAACGAGTAAATTCTATAGTGTCAACCTAGTCGCTCGCGAAAATTGATCATTATTATTTCTTGGAAACGGTAACAATTAAAGCAAAATCACTAAAGCATTAAAGCAAAATTTTTAATAAAGTCATTGCACCTTACTGACGTTTTGTGATTGATAATTGACTAGAAATGAATTGTTACTTTACTCTTTTATAATAATGAACAATATTTAGTCTGCTACAATAATAATTATATAATGCATCTAACAAAATGTAAACGCCATTATCTCATAAAATTTGAGGCATTTTATCTATCATTGTTTAGAAGTATCATAATATAAGAAATACGCTGAAAACTTTTATAGAACATACGAGCATCGATGAATTACAAAAGCAGAATTTTGTATTTTTATCCCGCATATTAGCGAGTGACGAAGTGAATCTAAGATTGATGAATCATGTCTTATAGACCAATTCGTAAGGTAAGCAGCAAAACTAGTTACTATTAAAATTTAGGATCTGTTTTTACAAATTTGCTCGATGATATATAATCTACACTAGATTGATATAATGACAGCCCTGCTATTTGCACTTGACCATTAAATATTATATCATACCTGAATATTTCCCTTAACACGGCAAACATTATGCATTATCGGCCGATTTCAGAGAAACTTTCTCCGTTTTATGAATTAAAATGCTTTGACGCTGTTACTTACTTTAGTACTCAATAATGTACTTTACTTTAATTTAAGAACTCTGACTAATCTCGAAATGTGCGATTCGAATAGATAAGTTAACAATAAACTAAAATAACTTCTCAGGCATTGCGAGATTCCTAAAAGCGTCTTTAATAAACTGTTTCATATATTATACTCTATAAATTGATGACATGCTAAAGTTGTCTGGCAATTTACGAATTACTGCAATGATACAAACTTAAGCGTAATCTATGGTTTTAACAGAAAATGAAATCATTTAGAATTCAAACCGTGCTTTCCGAGAATTATTTAATTTCGATTACCGTAATTTTTAGCCCTTATTCTTGCAAAAATGTCTTTTCAGTTATTCTATTTCATCATTCATGCAGCTGTCTTTATTTTTATTGAAAAATTCTTCAAAGATGGATATATGTGACTTGCTGTCGCTATCAGAAAAACTTTTGTTGAAAATAATACTATAATATTTTATTGAAAAACAAGAGGCATATTATTGACTATTACAAAATACCCTAATTTTGTGTTATAAGCTATAGCTATAGCTGATTTAATGTAATCTTAGGATTGTTAATAGCTATCATTCTTGAATGTTGAAATATTAATCAATTTTTTAAGATTCAACTTATTTTACTGTTATTTGCATACTCTTATTTTCTTAGAATAGCTATTAGATCATCGTTATTTATCACTTTATGCTATAGAAAGCGCACTTTTAGTAAAATTTTTACCTAAAACTAAGATACTATATAATACAAAATACTTTAGATAACTTCAAAAAAAGGTAGATAGACGGTTATTTTCCGCTATAATATTTAATGATAACGACAATAATGTAATATAAGCAAACATACGTATATTGGATCTATTATTAATACAGAAAGTTGGGAAATGAAATTATGATCAAATTTCAAGGAATAAATACTGGTGTATTGGCTAAAGCAGAAAAATTGACGAAGTATAATATATAAAAGAATCTATGCAATATGTATGGATACGATACAGATGTTACCGTTCAGTAGTTTTAACGTATTGTATGAGAACTATTTCATTCACAGATGCTAGAAACTCTCGAAATACTCTTACTAATGTATTAATTGGACTACTTCTAAACAATATCTGTTAGTCCTACGTTACTCTTTATTTGAGACCAATTAATTATCCAAAACGATGTTGAATATTATTTGACCTTACGATCTAAGTAAGACAATATAGATCACGATGGATCTCACTAAGGATCTCTAGATTTCACTACTGAAAGTAACTAAATCAAACAGCGCACAGGATGGTGCTTAGACTTCGCAAGCAAATATAATTACTTATGATTGCCGGTAACTGGTAACTACTAACTGCAACCCTAATGAGTTATAACATGTTTCATAACGTATCGACAAGCCCGCATTATCAGAACAGTACGCAAATTTACAAATTATAATCATTCCCAGTACATAGATTCAATGTGTGAACTTTAAAGCTTTAAAATCATATTTTATTAAATAAAAGGCACTGATAATTCATTAGATTGTTTTTACATTTAGCTGAAATTCATATTACTGTTAAAGCTGCTATCTAATTTCTCCGTTCTATTTAGATTTCTGCTTTAAAATGGATTGTTATCGGAAGTTTGTTATGCTCCGTTGCATTTAACAATATTAAAATGGCAAATGCATCTGGTAATAAAATAGGTCATAGAAGTATTAATTATGTAATTGTTATAAATTTTAATTATCGTATAGGAATTATAGTATAATAAATCAAGAATAAAGCTATTATTAAGTCATTTCTTTTATCTCTGACCAGGTGATAGATGGTTTAGCCATAATTTCAAGCGTTATTTTATCAGCCAATCACAAGCATCATTCTATAGTGCTAGAAGTTATTGTGAAAACACTTATAAAGGTAGTTTAGTGGAGATCAGCGATGCTGATGAGGATACTATTCTTCTTGGTATAATACAAGCATTACGTAAAAGTATGAATAGCTTGCATTTGGCACATTACTGGATCGGCCTTATGGATTTAAATGGAACATTTACTCATGCTAAATGGATAAATAGCAATAATACCGTTGGAAATTGGAACTCATGGCATGAGAATATAGTTATTAATTCAGCAAAGTTATGTGCTGGTGTATCTTTAGGAAAATCTAGTACTCAGCTGTCCTGGATCAACTTAAATTGCGCTGATAACTTTTCCTTTATATGCCAGCTAGGTAAGGACGGGCAAAACTGTTACCTAGTATTACACAAAGAATTCAGCTTTGCTGGTAGATTAAGTAAAATATTAAAAGTCATGAATTGGTTTGAAATACTTACAGTTTGGATTGAAATTAAATCGTTAATCTAACGATCGTTTCAGACGAACTTAAGCTACAAAATAGAGATTAATAAAGTATAGTAGTTATACTATATAGTTCTATTACGGCATAAACGAATTCTGAGATGTTAATGCAATCATAATCTTGCATAATTATTAAATTTTTAAATTCGATCTACGTTAAGATCTGAGAAATACCTCTTCAAACTGGACTCTGACATCGTATCTGCTGTCTAGTTATTTTATTCCATTCAGTAAGCTCTTTTCTTTATTAAAAGTTGATGCAATTTATAAATTACTACAAACAACGTATAAATATAGGAATTGTTAATAAACTAACCCAGTGACTATACTAACGTTGTATTTTCGTTTAGGGGATGAATTCTGCAAGGCTCCATCTGTGCTATTTGGCTCTACTTGCGTAACTTCATATTATGAGAGCTTAATTTTTAGTCTATCCAAAAAGTATTGTATAAGTCTTGGCAAGCAGCTAGTCCAGATTGAATCATATAATAAATTACAAGCTTTAAAATCGCTTATGATACGACGATCTGAATTATGGATTGGCTTAAAAGCGAACAACTCANAAGCCGACAGAATTTCAACAGTTTAAGTGGTTAATGCCAGACTTTTCTATTTAT